CCCAGACGGTACCAGTCGTTCTGAACAGAAATCCACGGTTAAACCCTTGCCACGACCTACGGAATACGCGAAAGTTAGTAACAAAGCTCAGCAGTTCGCTCTAGCTGCGGGCTTAGAACAAAAGAAGAAAACTTTCGAAGAACTCGTACCCTCCTATCTCCACGACTTCGCCGATATCTTCGCTAAAGACGGTCTCAATCAACTCCCTCCTGAACTGACCCGGTATTGACCATCGCATCGAAACGAAGCCAGGATTCATCCCCAAAACATCGAAAATCTACCCCCTCTCTATCGCCGAACGAGCCGCCATCAAAGCATTCATTGATGAAAACGTGAAAAAAGGTTTTATCTCGGAATCTAAATTGCCACAGGCTAGTGGTTTCTTCTTTGTGGGAAAGAAAAGCGGGGATCTTCGACCCTTGTCAAGATTATCGGTATATCAACGATTGGATGATCAAGAACGCCTATCCCTTGCCGCTTCCCTTATCCCCTGTCGCACGATTACACGGAGCAAAGTATTTCACCAAGATGGACGTCCGATCCGGCTACAATAACATCCGCATTCACCCTGACGATAGATGGAAAGCTGCATTCACTACGGAATTCGGACTCTATGAGCCGAATGTCATGTTCTTCGGGCTTTGCAATTCCCCGGCCACATTCCAAGCCTACATGAACCGTACTTTCCAACAAGAAATCAATGAAGGATGGTTGGTGATTTATATGGACGATATCCTCATCTTTTCGGATAACCTTGATGAGCATCACGCTCGTACCCGTCGAATTCTTACGAAAGATCCGTGAAGAACGACTCTTCTTGAAACCAGAGAAATGTACCTTTGACGCGCAAGAAGGTTGAATACCTCGGCATGATTATTCGCCCGGGATGCGTAGCTATGGACGTTGCTAAGACTGACGGAATCCGCGATTGGCCAACTCCATCCACTGTTAAAGAAACCAGGTCGTTCCTGGGTTTCTGTAACTTCTACCGGAACTTCATCCCTCATTATTCCGATATCGCACGACCTCTTATCGATCTTACAAAGAAAGATAATATCTTCCTTTGGTCCGCACCGTGTCAAGAAGGCATTTACGACACTAAAGAATGTTTCCTAAAACAGCCTGTCCTCCGTAACCCAGATCCATCCCGACAATTCGCCGGTAGCCACCGATGCATCCCTTGTTGCAACGGGTGCTGTCTTACTACAGACCGATGAGAACGGCGTGTATCATCCATGCGGATACCTCTCCCAATCCCTTAACCCCGCTGAAAGAAATTATCAGATCTTCGATCGAGAACTCCTGGCTGTTATCCGTGCACTCCAAGAATGGCGCCATTATTTGGAAGGAAACCCTCATCCAATTATTGTTTTCACCGATCATAAGAACCTCCTTTATTTCCGTACCAGCGCAAAAGTTAACCCGTCGCCAAGCCAGATGGCAACTCCTTCTTTCTTGTTACGATATCGAACTTCACCACGTCCCAGGAACCAAGCTTGCTGCACCTGATGCCTTATCACGACGACCTGATCATGCACCAGACTACAGTCGATAACGAAGACGTAACACTCCTCCCCGATTCCATGTTCATTCACCTTCTCGACCAAGAGCTCATGACTACTCTTGCGAACCCTGATCCTGATGACACCGACCCCATCTTCCAAGCCGCCTCCGATGCCTTAAATGGCCTTTGCCTTCCTCCCATGAAATCGGCTCTCTCTGACTGGACGATTAAAGATGATATCTTGTTCTACAAAGACCGTGCCTACGTCCGTCCAGCCGGACGCCACTCTATTCTAGAACGAACCCATGACCACGCCACAGCGGGACATCCCGGCCGTTTTAAAACCGAAGAACTGGTTAAACGCGACTTCTGGTGGCCGTCCATGGGAACCTATATCCGTAAATACGTTGAGGGTTGCGCCCTTTGTCAGCAAATGAAATCCGATACCCATCCCACGACCCCTCCGTTGGTTCCTATCCCTTCTTCGGTCTCTACTCCGTTCTCCCAAGTCTCTGTCGACCTCATCACCGATCTTCCCCCATGTAACGGGTTCGACTCTATCATGGTCGTGGTAGACCATGGTCTTACGAAGGGGGTAATTCTCATCCCTTGTACGAAAACTATCACCTCAGAAGGCGTAGCAAAGAAATTCTTCAAATACGTCTACCGCCGTTTGGGCTCCATGAGAAAGTAATCTCAGATCGAGGCCCACAGTTCATATCCAAATTCTCTAAAGCCCTCGCAAAACTTTTGAAATACGACATCGCCGCTTCCACCGCTTATCATCCGCAAACAGACGGTCAAACCGAACGTTTGAATCAAGAACTAGAAACCTACCTCCGAATCTATTGCCGCAACAACCCAGAAGAATGGGTTGAACATATCCCCATGTCCGAATTCGTCCACAACCACCGCAAACATGACTCTCGCAACGCATCCCCATTCTTCCTTATGATGGGATACGAGCCACGGGCTCTCCCCCATGTACTCCCAGACTCCACTGTTCCCGCCGCAGAAGAACGACTTCGCCTCCTTCAGAAAATACGAGAAGAAGCTATCTCCTACCACAATCTTGCAATGCAGCGAATGGCCGCACGATCATACGGAAAGAAGTATCAACCATGGAAGGTCGGCGATAAGGTTTGGTTATCGGGAAAGAATCTTATCACGCAGTTACCATCACGAAAACTCGCTCCAAAACGCTACGGCCCCTTTACCGTTACCGCGGTACTATCGCTGATTACATTCACACTCCAATTACCCAAGCAGTGGAAGGTTCACCCCACGTTCCATGCTTCCAAATTATCCTCCTATCACGAAACCGAAATCCACGGTCCCAATTTCCCTGATCCTCCACCTGATATCATTGATAACGAAGAAGAATACGAAGTCGAAGCAATCTTGTCACACAAGGGCACGGGTAAACGAAGACGCTATCTCATATCCCGGAAAGGATATTCTTCCGCTAGTAACGAATGGATTCCCACGGAAAATCTTGGCCACGCTTCCACAATCCTCGCCGCTTATAAGAAAGCTCACCAGTTATAAGAACCGTTGCGAAAAAATGTCTTTCTCAGAACTCCGTACTCTCCAGATTTGCCTCTTGCAGCTTCAAATCCTCATCAGAGCCATTGATAATATGTCCGAAACCCTTGCTACTTCCCCGTCCACAACATCTGTCACCTTGACCGAAACCACTGAATCCCCAAATTACTTCACCATCCTCGATGACATCGAAACCAACACGCTATTTGAATCCGCTCTCCTTTCTGAACAATACGCTATCGAGATAGATCGTCTCCTTGCTGAACAAGGAGCCCTGTCTAGCACGCTCCTCATTAACATCATTCGCGCCGCCAATCTCATTAAGCGAACCGCAGGCCTCCTTAGTGATAGCGAAAATGACCAACACTTTAAAGCCATTTTCCGTCATCTCCATATTCGCATTCGCAACTCTGCGATATGTCTCATGCCTACCTCTACCAAAGAAGTTGTTAGAGAAGCCATCCATATCGTCACTGAACGAATTGCAACAAACCCAATCGCCAGACCACCATCCCCTCACGTCGCAATTCCCATCCCTCCTCCGGTTGAGATATCATCTCCCGTTGAGCATACGTCTGGTACTATCACTCCTCCTGCTGTACCAATCATACCGTCTGCTCCTGCAGCTGCCCCGGCGGCAACCGCCCCTCGCCCACACCCCACTCGCCTACGACCCTTCAAGCGAGAGATTTCCGTCTCCCCTCCCCCCGCGTAACAGCGCTTTACGCTCCAAAACACCATCCCCGCCTCCGCAATCATCCTCCGTCACCATCGTGAAAACTGAACCCATTGATAATTTCAAATGTCGCTACTGCAAAGAATTCGGTCATCGTCACAAGAACTGCCCAACGTATTTCTGCTGCGTATGTCGTAACCTCGCGCCAGGGCATCTTTCGGTCTTTTGTAAAGACCTTAAAGGCGAGAAACCTATTCCATTAGTATGGACGGATGAGGGCTTCTACGAGGCTCTCGCTAAATGGGAGGCTGACAAAGACGCCGCCTTGGAACAGATCTCTGTCGAAGAAGATGAGAGAATGTTCATTCAGTGCGCAGGTGACCGTGACAATTATGACGCTTACGATAACTTTGATTGTTGAAATCGGTGACTTCAACGATAACAACGGGGTAATGTTACAGTCAAGTACGCCCCCTATTCATTTTCTTTGCTTTACATCATTGTATTACATCACGATCGCATCTTGCCGTCGCTAGATGATCTATTCTTGTTATCTTTGACTCGTCTTATCTCTGACTCGTTTTATCTCTGACTCGTCTTATCTCTGACTCGTCTCTATAACCTCATCGTACCGGCCCTAAAGTCGTTACCGTTCACTATATAAACTCGTCTTGTACTATGTAGTTCTTTACTTTAATCTTACTAGGTTTTACCTGGAACTTCCTTCGCTTAAGACCTCCAATCTTAAGTCGCATTGAACGTGATTCAAGTCGAGGACACTCTCCTTGCCTTGTCTTAAAGAAACCTTGAAACTTCGGTATACGCCGAAGCCTTGAACCGACCTTGGCCGATTACTCTTACTGAGTAGCCATACGTCAGAACCATCCTAGTTTGTAGCAACTGGGCACAAACAGGTGTATGCAGCCGTCTACTTGCCAGACATGACCATGATTGTGACTGCTGGATATGATGGGCCGATTCTGAGTCATGACTACTACCAGCTGCAGTGCACTGTCAAAATCTGGGATGCCAAGACACGCGAACTTGTCGTCACTCTCAAAGGACACACTGGTTCAGTGATGTGCCTGGCTTGGACCCCAGATGGAAAAATGGTGGTCTGAGTCAGCCTCGTGCCTCGGCTGACACAGAGTTTAGTCTACGTGCAAGTTAAGCGAGGTGGCGCAGCGCCTCTTGCTCCTGCCCACCTTGCAGCTTTTCATCCTCTCGAGTATTTAGCTACTCATTCTGCGTCTTTTGCACTATTCTATTTCAATTATGTTCCAAGAAGATCCTAACTTAGCCATTAGGCCTGATTACACCTTAGAAGAGCACCAGGCTGCATGTCAACATCTAGTTGATGAAGGACTCACAGATGACCAAGCAGCTTGGTCATTAGCAGCATTGTGGACTTTAACCAACAACGGGGACAAGGAACGTTGGAACCTCAGACAAGAACATATACAACAAATGAAAGCCAGGGAAGCCAAAGAGGCTGAAGAACTTCAGCGTTTACACAAAGAAGAATAAGAGGCAGTGCGCCGAGACGACAGAAAGAAGAACAAGACAAAGTACGCCCCATTAGTGCACAGAAAAGTACCATCAGACCCCACCATTTTACCGGCCCAATACACTACAAGAAAGCTCAAAGCTGGTGACTACTGTGAACCACACTATTTCACTAACAGAGGTCTTGAGGATGTGAAATCAGCAAGCTTGATAGCGGAACCAGACGCTATGGTCATGTTACCCTCTGCAGACAGTTTGCATTCATGGATCCCAGCAGTAGCAGTGAAAGACCCGAAGGCCGTGCTGGTCATCAAGGATGAGTGCCTCTCTTGGGAAGAGTTTAACAATGCCGCACCACACATGTTAGCATCAATGAGACTGCATGACTGGCTCAAAGAATGAATTGACATGCATGTCAAGTTCTGGTACACGTTACAAGGGCACAGATGGCGCCATGCGCCAGACCAGCTCAAGAAAGCCCCCCTCCTCTATCAGTCTCAACAGTGTCGCCGATGGCACCAAATGCTGGGAACAGCACAAACCTGGACTCTAGAAGAGCTCAACAACGACTTAATACTCGAAGCACGAGAAGAGCTCTTCAACAAGAAGTGGGAAAGAGAAATGAGATCAGCCATTCAGGTTAGTCTTCCAGAATCACTTCCTAGTCGAATGGAACTTATCTTAACCAATTCAATATTCTTTCACTTTGCAAACACCCCCCCCCCTTCTTGCCAATCGTGTATGCACACAGGCACTCTATTTTCACACAACAAAAATATTTGGGCATCACGTGCCCCCATACGCACACTACATCTCAATCACTGATGATGAACGTGGCTATGTTGAACCCCCCCCCCCCCTGTGACTTATCATATATGGAATCAATCCATTCACCGCTTCACAGCAAGCAGCAGCAGCATATATTGGAATGCACCCCCAGCAACCTGCTTCAATGCAGAAGTGTCCTTTCCCACCAATGGAAGATGCTTCAGCTAGCAACAAGAAGGTACGGTCAGTATGCCCTGTTCCAAACACAGGCCCATTACCTTGCTGTGCAGTGTGTCTCGCACAATCTCCGCACCACACAATTGAATGTGTCATGGCCCAAACCTGGAATAAGAAGTTCAACACTTTCTCAGAGCACATCTGCAAAGGGCTTTGGACAAAAGATGGGAAGCAGTTATGCACTAGTTGGCAAAGAGAGGAAGGCTGCAACGTCCCCAGGCACAATACACACCATTTCTATTCAGGCTGTGGAGCAACCATGCATGGTGCCCAAAAATGCCCTAGAGCTGAGAGAACAAACACTGCTGACACCATACAAAGCTGACACATGGGCATATGAACTTCATAGTGCAGGAGTCTTAGAGCATTTCATTAAGGTACCAGATGGACTCTGTTTAGGTTTCAAAATAGATTTCTCATCAATTTCAGTTGTACAGACTCCCCCGAATAAAGATTTGATTTCCAAGTACTCAATCGAGTTCAGTAGCATCATTCAAAAGGAACTAGACAGAGGAAGATACCTTGGACCATTCCTAGCTAACACATTAGAAAAACTAATAGGACTGTTTCAGTCCTCTCCCATGTCAATCATTCCAAAGCCAGGCAAACCAGGCAAATTCAGAGTCATACAAAATTTCTCATACCCGCACTCCCCTAGCATCATCCACCCGAACCCATCGATTAACTCTTACATAGATGTGCAGAGCTTTCCAACGACATGGGGCAAGTTTTTGATTATATACAATCTAATCGCAAACCTACCTCCGGGTTCAGAAGCAGCAACAAGAGACATGTCAGAGGCATACTAAACAGTCCCTTTGCATCCATCACAGTGGCCAGCAGGAGTAGTAAGAGTATCGGACTCTCACTTCTGCATAGATACCTGCATGGCTTTTGAGGCAGCCCCATCTGCTGGAATCTACGGACTCATGGCAGACACTGGAGCTGAAGTGTTTCAGAACAACGGAATCGGACCACTGGACAAATGGGTAGATGACCATCTGTTCATCAGAATCAAACACATGTTTTTAGCTCAATATAACGAATGGAGGAAGACATGGAATCTAACTTATGCAAAAGCTGACATGCGCCAATCAGGTGGATGTATCTGGTTCGGAGAACGATGCCCAGAGACAGGAAAGCTAGAAGAGTCAAATGAAGACTGTTCTAAGCCAATCAAGGACCTGTCGGGCAGCTTGCTGAGATCAGAACACAACAAATTGTTTACGTTCAACTTACGAGATGTTGATGACCTATCAGGAAAAATGGGCATCATTTGGGGACCGCTAAAGGACCAGCCATTTGCACCGTCCACAATCTACACAGGTTTCACCTGGAACACTCAGGTCAAAACTGTTTCATTAAGTCCAGCAAGTGGCTCAAAAAACCGTCCGTATGTTTTGGCATTTTTCACTATCTATAATATTGTGTGAGAACAAACAAATGCCTCAAAAACATGCTTATACCACATTGTAGTATGGCTTCAGGGCTTTCATTTGAGCCCTACACCGTGGGAATCGGTGGAGATATGGTGGAGATACAAGGCTCACAAAATGGTGACTCATGCGGACAGTTTTTTGACTCAAGTATTTTACAGTAATAACCAGGTATTCTAGTATTTTGTATGACCTCCCTTGGCTTTAATTACTGCCTCTATCCTTCTAGGCATACTCTCAATTAATTTCTGGCAATCCTCAGCTGTGATCTTCCCCCATTCCACTGCTACTCTCTCCCAAAGCTCCCATACTCCTTTAGGGGGGTTTTCATAGGCTTGAAGCTTTTTCTTGAGTGTTCCCTAGAGATGTTCAATGACATTGACATCAGGAGACTGTGCTGGCCAGTCAAGAACATTGATGTTATGTTCTTCAAACCATTCCCTAGCTCTTCTGGATGTGTGCTTGGGATCATTATCCTGTTGGAAAATGATATCTTCTTCATCAATCCCTGATTCTGCCAAGCTAGGCAGCAAGTGGTCATTTAAAATGTCCACATACTGCTCAGCATTCATCTTCCCCTCAACCTCAGCAAGCATTCCCACACCATTCCATCCCATACAGCCCCATACCATTAAAGAACCTCCTCCAAACTTGACAGTCCCATTAACCTCTCTGTCTGTTAGGCCATCTCCCTTCTTTTTCCATACATACACCTTCCCATCTGACCCAATCCTATTGATTTTGGTCTCATCTGACCATATAACATGCTTCCAGTCCTCTACAGTCCAGTGTTGATGAGCTAAGGCAAAGGCTAGTCTTCTCTGCCTATGTTTGATGGAGAGAAGAGGCTTTTTCTTCTTTGTTACTGCCTTGAGATGAGCTGCCTTGAGAACATTCCTCACAGTTTGTGAAGAGACAGGGGTAGTGATGGTGGAATTGATATAATGGGTGGCTTGGACAGCATTATCAGCCTTTCCTGTAGTGATATGTTGGATAATAGCCCTTTTGTCAGTAGAGGTAAGCTTGGATGGACGTCCTCCACAAGAGTTTTCCTTGTCTGGGTGGCTTTCTTTGATGAACTTGGCCACAGTGGACTTGCATATTCCAGTTCTAGAGGAAATTTGGCGAGCAGAGAGGCCAGCATAAGACAGAGAGAGGATATTATCTCTTTGAGCAGAGGAGATGGCTTTCATGGTGATTATGACTATGATACATGAGATATTCTGGTTTATATAGTTAGATATAGTCATAAAATAACATAATGACACCACTTTATAATTTATATAATAGTGGCATGATTTTTATGGTGTCATAAATAATGATTTATATAGTTTTAATATACACTCAAAAAACTGTCCACATGAGTCATCATTTTATAAGCCTTATATCTCCACCATATCTCCGCCGATTCCCACGGTGTAGGGCTCAAATAAAAGCCCTGAAGCCATACTACAATGTGGTATAAGTATGTCCTTGAGGAATTTGTTCATTCTCACACAATATCATAGATAGTGAAAAATGTCAAAACATGCGGACAGTTTTTTGAGCCACTGTAAATACCTAGCAGCTATACACAAGTGGCGCAAACAGCATGCTCACATACTGCAGGATGTACAAGAGTTGTATGGGAAGTTAATGCATGCTTGCGAGGCAGTGCCCAGAGGTAGAACATACCTAACAAGCCTTGAGGCTATGCTTTCCCACTGTGGAGAGAAGCCATTCCTTCCCCATAGAGCAGGAGATAAGGTAGAAAATGACTTAAACTGGTGGTCAGACCTCTTGCAGAACGGAGGAGTTGCACAAAACATTTACCCAGCTCCCAAACTGAAAAACCCTTTAGCCTTCTCGGATGCCAGCTCTGGGATAGGTATTGGTATTGCAATTGGAAACCATTGGAGAGCGTGGAGGCTGATACCCAGCTGGAAAACGCTAAATGGAAAACAAGATATCAGATGGGTGGAAGCAGTTGGCTTCGAGCTACTCACCTACACACTCGCAGTGCTCCTTAATGATACTGGACATGTCATCGTCCATGGAGACAACACAGGAGTGGTTGAAGGCTGGTGGAAGCACAAGCATAGGAACAGCGAGGTTAATGGAGTGTTCAGAAGAATCAACGACTTCATTCATCATCTTCCCTACACTTTCAACGTTATCACATCATACATCCTGAGCGCCTCCAATCCAGCAGATGAACCTTATAGAGGAATATATGGACCAACAAGCCTTATTCTCCCCCCAGTTAGCATTCCAACAGAGCTTAAAACCTTTCCTCATCAATGCCACAGAACCACTATCTGCTGCTGAAATGGGAGTTACTCCACTCCAGCAGCCAAGGTCATCAATTGCCAGCTCATCAAGCAGCAGGCAAGTGAGCAAGCTAGAGCTAGTAGAGAGGAAGAGGAAGTTTTTATCAGTAGAGCACTCCGCAAGGACTGAGGAGAAGAGCAATCACTTCAATGCCCCCCCTACCAATCTCTAACAAAGCATCCTCATTGATCCTACAGAGCTACAAGCCAAACTTGACACCCAGACCATCAACCCTGCATCCACACTGTCTTGCGAGGGACCAGTTGAGACTATGGGTACCGGCAGGAAGTAGCACTAAACAATCTCTATCAGTAATGACATTAGATCAATCCCCTAATCACAAAATTTCAGATAGTCAACTAGAATGTATCCTAGATGTCATAGGATCATCTTGGGCGCAGTCGACAAAAGAGACATACAGAGTGAGCTCACTTGTTTTTCACATCTTCTGTGACACAAACAACATCACAGAAGACAAACACTGCCCAGTAGCATGCAGTCTCCTCCTCAATTTCCTGTGCAGCTGCGCGGGATCCTATTCAGGATCATCCTTGGCAAACTACACAGCCGGACTGAAGGCATGGCATCTGTTGCATGGGAGAGCATGGTTAATCCCACCAAATGAACTCAAGGCCATCCTAGATGGCACAACGGCATCAGCCCCAGAATCTTCCAAACGCCCAAAAAGGTTACCATTCACACCAGCATTTCTATGCAAGATACAAGATCACTTAGATCTCAATACCCCTTTGGACGCAGCCGTCTTCACATGTCCAACAATGACATTCTATGCCATAGCGAGACTAGGAGAGTTTACCGTGAGCGCAATCAAAGATTTCGACAGACAGAAGCACATTACGAGAACAGGAGTGTCAAAGACAACAGACCACAATGGCCTCCCAGTGACCAAATTCTGGCTGCCCAGGACAAAGTGCTCACCCATCAAAGGACACCTATGATTCTCACACATCTCAATTAGTTAAGTGGCCTTATGGCACTCTTTCTGCCACTTTATTAAGTCCCTCTGCATTCATATGAAGCACTGGCAGTGTGCCCCAGCTGGTTTCAGTCACTTATGCGTGTTTTCTCCAGCAGCCTTTACTTCTCTTTCCGGTATGTCTTTCCCATGCCCGTTTTGGCCACCACACCAATACAAACAATGCCGCCAATGCATGCCAAACAATATGCTCATCGTGGTAAATGATGAGCTCTCATATCCCGCCAAATACCACTATTTCTTTCTGCATTTTGGGCAGTACACGAGGACTACAGGCCAGACTCTATTGACATATCAATGCATGAAAGCCAGCTCTGCTTTCCGCACATGTGGCCCTCACGACATTCAACACTCCCACAGTCTTCAACTCTTTATCTGGTGGTGCAATGACAGCACAAGTACCTCAGCACTTTGATGGACCAAGCCTGGCACTTCTTTCTGCACACGTGGCCCCTGCAACAGATCAACCAACTCTGTGGGAACATGTTCAACATTACTGCGGTCTTCGACTCATTAATTTGCCAGTACAATGACTGCACAAGTACTTCAGCCTTAGGTGTGAGGGACTGTGAAGATTCTGAGGGTTATTGGGCTAAGTATTGAGGCATGATACATAGACAGTGAGCTTGTACTACTTCAGACAGGATGAGCAAATGAAATGTAGGATATTGCCAAGCTATTCTACATGTTTTCGTGGTCAGATTCAACATGCGTATTACTCTTTTTTGAACGCTGAGTCCCCTTCTTTGTTGGCCCACACCGTGCATGGGTCCTTGACTCCAGTTCAGATTGGCCTTTCTCCATGAGTTTCCGAGCACGTTTCGAACGCGAAGTGCCGGTAGACACATCTGTGGCCCTCTTACCATGGTTGGTCGCTGCGACAAGAACATGTGCTTCACCAGCTATTGGAAGAGGAGTAGGCATGGGTAAAGTGGGAGGAAACTGTACCATGGGAGGTCCATTGTCAGAAGCAGCTGAAAGACAACATCAAGTGTTTATCCCAGAGTAGATTATAAATATTTACCGTGATCAAGCACACAAAGAGCAGGATCCACCATTTCATCTGTGAATGAGGAGGGGCACACATAAGGCTCTGACAAAGCCACACAAATGTTGGCCGGCTGTGTCGAATTGGGAGCGGGCAAGTTGGGTGGCATCGAGGGCTCCAGGTCAGGAGTGAGAGAGGGCTCAAGATCAGGAGTGAGAGTCTCTCCATCCTTGATATGATGCATCCGCTCTTTGGCTTCCTGTGGTGTTATTGTTACAAACTTACAGGTATTGGCCTGAATTGCAAGGACCACGTTCTCGAGGCTCTCGATACTATCTTTCAGGTCAGAGGGATTGGCCCAGTAGGGGTGGTTCCACCCTATGAGCTTAATGTGGTAGCACTGGACAAGATCATTATAGCATTTGAATTACATTACTGCCGCTGGATTATTCATCACTTCACCTGCAGTGAATCAGCGGATAATTTAAAACACAAAAAAGCGGGGCTTACAAAGTGATGTACAAAGACCATTTTGAATGGCAGTCTTCACATTAGCAACACACTGTTGATGATTAGCACCTGTGTCTGGATTACAATAAAATTGAGCCATGCATATGGGAGAAAAAGGTTAGGTACTAACTCATAATGAGGCCATTGGCCAGTATAGTGCTCTCGAAGTTGGTTGCCATTTGCACGATGTCCTTATGTAGATATAGACGAACAAAGTGTTCAGCCATGGGGCTTGTGAAGAACTCCTTCGGCACCATGGTGAAGTCGGAAACACCACGAATCATAATGATGAAGGCTTTAGCGCTAACACATTCCTTGAGAGCTTTGAGCTTCATGAAGTATTAGTCAAATGCACAAGCAAATGTAACATGGCAAGTACACACCTCTTCTCTCACGAACTGGAAACTCCGGGAACATTCAGCAGCACATGATTTAGCGGTGATATTTGGAGGATGATCCTGAGAGCTCTTCTTGACTTTATCAAAGTCAATTATAAGCTGTTCCTTCTCCTCAGCGGTAAGGCAGTGGTACTCCATTTGTGCATATAAGCATGCCAGGCACTTGTCTTGTTGCATTTGCAGCGGTGGATAATGGAACCGAGTGACAACTGCTCAAGGTAGCAGTGTCAAGGTTGTTTGAACTTCAACACCAACTCTGTGGCCTTCGCATGAATGTAATTTAGAACAGCCCGGATTTCTTGGTCCTCATTGAGGCGCTTAGCCTGTTGCCGCTCTGTCAGTTGCTGATGCACTTCATTCAATACTTTGATATATGGGGCATGCACCCGAGGAACCAACTGGCGAGGATTGTGTGAGTGAGCAGTTACTGGGAGCACCATCACAGTAATTCTGACGGTGAACAAGGTGACAGGCTGAGAGGTTGAATGGCATTATAAATGAATCATACAAGGTCAGATTTAAAAAAAAGACGGTACAAAAAGTATTATGAGAGCGACACCTGAGAATCAGTCAACATAGCATTCCCGATGGTCTCTGCGTGCTCCTCCGAAAACTCAGCAAGCTCCTGCAATTTCATAATCCACCACTTCGGAAGGAAATCTTTGCTGATTGATATGCAGACCCGATGAAAATGATCCGGGTAGCCTAGCTCTTCTAGGACTGCCTCCGTTTCAGTCCCAAAAGGAAGAAGTGTTGGCACTTTATATTGCCGTGATTCAGAGGGGGACCTAGCAGTGATCAACATGAGTGTGATGGGTGTGGGTGGAGACCATCCAAAGGATGCACTTTTGCCCTTCATAGGAGTTGCAGGAGGGTAATGTCTATCGTCGCTGTTTGACGGAGGGTGACGTCTCTTACCCTGGTCACCACTTGAGGGCTGGTCGAGAACGGTAAGGGTCATTGGCTGAGGGATCAATTAGACAATAGTTCGACTGAGAAAAACCAAAATTTACCTGACATACATTTGTTGCTGATATGGCAGTCCTTCAACTCAGATCCTCTTTGCAGACAAAATGACTTGTACTGACACTCTCCATTGGCTGAGCAACCAATTAGACAATAGTTTGACTAAGAAATACAAAAATTTACCTGACGTACACTCACTGCTTGTACGGCAGTCCTCCGACTCGGCTCCTCTTTGGGGACCAGATTACTCGTGCTGACACTCTCCCAAGTATGCATTAGTCGGATCTGAGTTGGCTTCCACATGATTCTGCCATCATAGACAGGCATGTATGATAAGATGGAGCCTGAACTCAGGAGACCTTCTAAAGAGCCTCAAGGATGTCCATGAAAAGTGAAGTGTGTTGATAATGGTGAGATGGGTGAGGGAACAAGAGGCATGACATTGGCTTGTCCTTTGCCTTTCGATGTTGTCTTGCCTTTCAATGGCATTTGAGAGTCGCTGCTGTTCCAATTGTTCTGAATCCGATTTTCTGCAAAGGCTTGGGCTAAAGGTGTCACATAGTCACCGATAAAGAGTTGAGAAATTTGAGTGATGACCGAGTGAAGCTTGTGATGGTCCAAGAGCACTTTGGGATTGACATAAACTTCAGCCTTGAGGTTTTCAGGAGAGACATCCAAGCCTGGAGATGTAGTGCCAGGATGATGCAGGACAATTGTTGAACCACCCGTCAACCTATCTAAGGTGGTGCACTGAAATGCAGTTCAGCAGAAGGAAAGGTGTGAATGAGAGGCAACACTTGCCAGGTCAAATATAGTGTGCAAGATCTGCTTTGTGTGAGTTGCTCAAGCCCGCCAATTCTTTAGCCTGTCCTGCTCTGTAGCTGGCTGAGTTTTAGAATACCCGGTGAGATAGTGTTGGCTAGTCAGTGCATGAAAGCTGTTTGTCTGCTCTAGATGCCCATCATCACTGTGGAATCCGTGCGTAACCAAAGATAAGAGCGCAGAGTTCCAGCGACAGTCATGTCCAGCAAATGAATTGAGATGTTCAGGGCAAGGAAGTAGAACCTTGCACTCTTCAATGCCACTAAGTGTAGGAGATCTGTTGAATGCAGGGGACTTCCAGTCTAAGAGGTTAGAGGACATGATGGACAATGACTGAGATGACCTGGAGGTTGCAATGAGGCAATGGTGTTCGCTTATTTATGTAAGATCTGGCAGTGTGGATGTCGTCATGAACACGCTACAATTCAAGCTCACTGCAACAATAGATAACGCAAATGACTTACTGAGTTGCACATGATATATAACAACTCAGAACAGTAGTAGCTCACTCTATTAAGTACTGATTGATATACCTGCATCCGTCATAAACCCTCAGTTGTAAATCAATCATCAATTCACAGATATTAGTGTACTGTCTGAATCACTAAATTCAATCACTAAATTCAAAGGTGTGCAGCGCATATTTCATTTTCATGGCCAAACAATCTGCAAAAGTCTCAGGGTGTTATACTTTCACAATCTAGCATTGAAGGCAAAGGCATTGATATGATATGATGATCTATAGCTATTACATGACAACAGTATGACTATTCTGCAGATTCTGAGTCTACACGGTGATGATCAAGTCCCTCAATGTAAGCTTGTACGTCTTCCAGCTGTTGCCCAAGCTCTACATCATCTCCATCTCCCTCCTCTCTATCCTGTTCATGTGGCACAGCTTTGTAGGGAGAGGCACATGCAACATCAATCCGACCTACACGACTGCCAGGGTTCTTTAGCCCACTGTAACCAGGAAGCTGCATGATCTGCTGGATGCACCAAATGTGACGTGCATTGATGGACCAAAGCTGTGTCCAGTGATGCTGGAGTTCAGCTGCAAGGGGTGGGTCACTGGACTGAAGTTGTGTGATGGCATGGGGGTAATCAATGGCATCATCTCGCATCTTCATGAGTAAATGTCCAAGCTCGACGTCCAGCCAACAAATCTCTTCATTAGCACATTGGTGCTCAAAATATTGTGTGGATGCGTGTCAGTAAGATGGGTTGGCCCAACTCTTCGACTGGATCTCCCCATCTGTTTCCCATAACAAGTCAAATTCGGCAAGGAAAGAATACTCTACAATCTGGTCCCATTGTAATGGGGGGCAGGGAGGGCTTAGGAGAGCGCCATATTTTGTATCGAGTAAGGGCGTTTTGAATTGCATTCGCACGACTCTTGAGTGCCTTGGAGATTTGAGTGCGAAGCTTGTAACCTACAAAGATAAGTGTTAAAAATGCGAAATTATAGTGTAAAGCCTTACCTAGACCACTCATTTGTAGCTTAGTCAACTCAAGCAGACGCATGACGACAAGGTGTTCAACATCATCTACAGCCTTGAGGAAGAGCCGATTGGTAATGCATGACTGTGCCTTCATCCGTTCGGGGTGGTCTGGACCCCATCTCAAGTCCAGTTCCATTTGATGTTTGTAATGCGTGACAATCTCCAGTTTCTAATCACATTTGTTAGTAGCATTCGCATGACAGCAGCATATGTCGCCAGATTCTTTTGTAGAATAATTGAGGCATACATCGAGCTCGCTGAATGCCACACGTGCAGATTCATATGAACGCCTTACATAGTCATAGTGTCATATCCCGTATTCCGGACCTTTGTCCGATGATGTTCCCATGCCTTCCGGATGCATATCCGGACCTCCATACCCTTATCCATGCCTTCAGTCCTCCAGTCCACTATCAGTTCAGATTCATACACCTTCATACATCCATATATCCATACCTTTGGACCTCTGCAGCTAAGCCTGCTTCATCCACCCTTAGTCCTATCATATTTGAGCTCATTCCATCTCGGACTCTACCTTCCCTTGACTATCGGTCTATATCCATGATCCATATCCTAGTCTCATCTTCACCTAGATCTCCAGATCCGCTCATCCGATATCCAGACACTTCATCCGATATCTCTAGACCTCCAGATCCGACCTATACTCATATCCGAAGCTCAAACCTTAAATCAGCGTCTATCTCCTTATGGTAATCCCCTTGACTCCGGACTTTGGTTATCTGTGTTTCCGTCTTGCTTATTGATCCTTGTACTCTGTTCATCTCCGAGTTCATTTACTTATGTTCCGTTCATACTTACCAATATATTTCCACATGCTCATGCATAGCATTTGTGTTCAGCTTACTGATCCTCTCAGATCCCTTCCAGTATATAAACCTCTGTACAACTCCTGTAAAGTTTCCTTAGTTCGAATATCATCTTAGACTTCACTCATTCTTGTCTCGGACTTTGATCCATCTCAGTCTGACCTTTTCTTAGGCCTAGGGAAGGATTCCCTAGGCCGACTTTCCGGTTCTCTGTATTTATCCTTCTGTCTACATCCATGCTTAGGGATTGATTCCCTAAGCCGGAGTTTTGCCTTTCCAGCACTTCCTGTCTTTCCAAGACTCCTGTCTACTTCTATCTAAACCCCATCTATCCTACTCTACCATAGTGTAGTCTACCTCTGTTTGTTTCTACTCCGGACCTTGTCTGTAGTAGCCTTTCCCCTCCTGTCCTAATCCTGTCCGCTCCTCCGGTCCTTGTAAACCTTCGGACATCATAACCTTCGGACATCATAACCTTCGGATGACGTGTCCTTCAGACCACTCCTCCTACCCTATCCTGCTTTGGACTCTGTCCCTTGCAGTCTATCCCCTGTGTTTCTATCTAGGGAACTTACCTTGGGAAGTCTTACCTTCGGATCTAATACAGTGGATGAAACTCCTCCAGAGTTTCCTATACTCCTCTGGAAGTTTCTTGCACTCATCTGGAAGTCCTCTAGCACTCTACTAGAGTAGCCAGCCTCTGGAAGTCCTTCGCACTTCGTCAGATTCCATCCAGACTTCATTCTGAAATTAAGGGCACGTACTCGGGTAAGGGGCACAGCGCATGAGCTGAGGCCAAGCCCTTCAGATCTGTCTACCCTTGAGCTATGGTCTTAACACATAGTATTGACGTGATCTGTCCACAGCTGAACAAAAAAACTTACTGGGCCTCATCATACTCATTCAATGCTCTTACATAGTCAACTTCCACAGTGGATTCTTCCTTCTTGCGAGCGAGGCGTTGTAAAACTTGGTGCTCATCCTTAAGATCATCTTCGAAGTTGGGCTTGATGGTGGCATTTGATGCATGGAAGTTGGCGAGGAATATGTTTGTCATAGAGATGATTGTCAGCGCTTGGACGTAATTATTATAGATGAAGTCAGCTACATTTGGGGTTAGCATGGAGTCCACAAAAAATGATGTGACATACATAGGGCTCCAAATTTGTCCAAATCAGCAAAGGAGAAATGTTTGTCAAGCACTTGGTGATGGTGAAAATCGGTGGTGTTGTGAATTTTGGCTGCAAGTGCATTAGATTCAGAGAAGACCCATTCACAGGTCTCAAAATCCTCCTTCCCCACACCGACTTTATACTTCGAATTATGCTCAACTTGGCAAAGTCGGTTGTGGGCATCTCCATGGAAGGCGGGCACAACACCCTGCAGGTTTAAGCATTTTGCATCATCAGCAAGCGAACTCCGTTGTATAATCTTTTTGAAGGTGCATTTGATATCATACCTGTAAAGAATATTGCTGCCAAAGACATCCATGAGCTTCTTCACACTAGCAATCGGGTATTTCATCCTGTCAATGTGTTAGCCTGCATATCAAACATTAGATAGGTGGAACTGAAATACAATTCACCGCTTCGGACCATATCGCAAATTGTAAGGAGAAACCCATGCCGGCATACTGTGACAGAAATCCCTGACTTCTTGAATATAGCAAACATCTTTTTGCGTGATTCAGGCGCTGCATTACGCCAGCGGTCAATGCATATGGTGGGTGGCTCTGCAGAATCGTTCGAGTCCAGTTCGTCTATCCACGGATCGTCAGGGTCACTAGGTTGCTGCCGAGCAGGTTGCCTAGCTTGACGTGCCCACGCAGATCAGACTTCATCCTTAAATTGGTCAATGTACGACTCTGTGAGCCAGATGGATGATAGCCCTGAGCGAGGGTCAAGATGTTCCTCACCACTACATACTGTGGGATCAACCAGTTTGGCTGAGTTGTTCCCATCACATGCGCACAGAATCAAGAAGTCCAGAGTCGGCTCATTGACCAGCTTGTATTGGCAAGCTGGACAAGAAATCAGCATGCGCCAGTTCTCTGTGTCATGTCCAAGGAACTTGTCGAGTCGGCTATTGATGCGACGATGTATTTCGAGATATACGTTGAACGCAGTGCGCATCTGTTTGGCTAGGTGCCGACAATAACAAAGCTAGGGCAATCTAAGAATATGTACAAGAGGATGACAAAAGACTCACGTTATGCATGAAACAAAGCATCTTTGCAGCAGGGTGGATGCTAAACCTTGGGCATACCCGATGACTTTGTCGGAACATGTCAAGGGTACAGATGGTAATCGCAACTGTCGGGCGAGTAGGTGAGCTGCCTATGCAACCATTATGAAGTAAGGACACGTTGATGAATGGGGAAAGGGATCTGAAAGTTTGGACACAGCGCTCTAAGTGAATGTTAGATATGCAAACATTACTGGAATAGACAGCACACCAAAAAGATCAACAACTTCAATTGAAAAATTCTCTGTCTTGTTGTCAGAGAGTGTGCAGGTTTTGCTTGTACGTCAGAAAAGCATTGGTGAGATCATCATATTGTGAGGCCCACTCCACTACAAGGCGTGCAATCTGTCCACTGCGATCGTGGGTGTCAAGTTGTCTATTCATCTATTCAGTAAGAGGAGATTGTGCGCAGAAAATAAATGGAGGAATACCGTGTCTTTGCCATTGTAATAGTCTCAAGCTCCCAGTAGAGCGAAATTTCATCTCCAGCATGACTTACTGAGAACCCTTCCTCACCAGGAGGAGGGGACCATAGAGTCTACATCCATGAAATAGGCGGAGAAGTCAGTGAGGTCGAAATTGTCCGATGGTACTTGCAATGACGTGCTTGGTCCACCACTCTCTGCGCTTAGCAGACGCTCACACTCCACCAAAGGAAGTTCTGAAAGACTGTCAGTGGAAACAGAATGGAAGTATAAATGAGCCATACTTTTGAGGAGAGCAGAGTGAATTTCATGGGCGTCCTGTTGACATTCACAAATGGCTCCAGCACGCAATGTTTTGGCTTTGCCCCTGCCACCAACATGAACAACGCATCGTCTTGAAACCCCACCCAGAGAATTGCGACTGGGGGGCATGGGAAACAGAGGCATAGATAAGGTGTAGTGAGTACTAGCAGTAACAAGGAGGGTTATAGTGTTTCCCACCTCGTTGATTTGTTGTGGGGGCCACGTGTGCAGAAAGCAGAGCCGGGCCTTCATGCGTTGATACGTCAATAGAGTCAGGCCTGTAGTCCTCATGTACTGCCCAAAATGCAGAAAGAAATAGTGGTATTTGGTGGGATATGAGAGCTCATTGTGGTAAATGATGAGCACATTGTTTGGCACGCATTGGCGGCATTGTTTGTATTGGCGTGGTGGCCAAAACAGGCATGGGAAAGACATACCGGAAAGAGAAGTAAAGGCTGCTGGAGAAAACACGCATAAGTGACTGTAACCAGCTGGGGCGCACCGCCGGTTGCTCCATACGAATGCAGAGGGACTTAATTAAGTGGCAGAAAGAGTGCCATGAGGCCACTTAACTAATTGAGATGTGTGGGAATCATAGGTGACCATTTCCCTTCAATACAAATCCACGGACGAAAATATTGCCGACGCATTTACGAAAGCTTTACCGGCGCCACGTTTTCGAGAGTTGAGAGAGAAGATGAGAGTCAGTTGTGCTCAAGGGGGAGTGTTGGACACATATGATAGTAGTAATGATCCGAGCGCAAGTACTAATGCTGGCTAAACGAAATGCCAGATGTTTGTCAGCCAGTGGCCGAGCAAGATCCCGGGTCTGGGCCAATGCGCAGATCCAGAAAGTGCACCCAATGGATGGAGCGGCAATCCGTGGCCTGCTGCCGATTGGAAGGTTGAATCACTGATCCAACAGATGGCTGAGCAAGATCCTAGAGCCAATGCGCAGATCCAAATGTGCCAGTGATATATCCAGAAAGTGCACCCAAAGGATGGAGCGGCAATCTGTGGCTTGCTGCCGATTGGAAGGTTGAATCACTGGCATTCAAGATTCTGTTTTTCGAGTGACCTTTGCAATTTCTTGAGTAGTCCAAGGAATTCTGCAGGGCTCACTGCGAGCAACAAAGCTCCAACTTGAACATATAAGTCTTAAGACATCCCTCAGATGCGAGCTTCTGCAAGATATTGAGAATGACTCAGACATGACGGTGAGCAATCATTAATTATTAAGCAGCTTGGACTCATCATCATGTGCCAGTGATCGGTGACAGCGTTCCGTGACTGCATCATGATGCAAGTCATTCTTCATGCTCTCACGTCCGAGCCGCGTCCGAGTCCCGACCTTTTGTCGCCAGGAGTGTTTTGATCTTTCCATCTTGGTGGGAAGATTAGCGCGGCGCCAATTCCAACTTGAAGCTTCCCTCCTCGTCTCCTAATCAGATTTAGCATCCTGAGTCCTCCACCGTATCATTGTGCCGGGGTTTCTATTACGATTTCAAGTTGCGTCAACGGTTAATTTTTCGGGT